GTGCTCCCTGGATGAACAGTGCTCCTAGCATTTGCCTATACTGCCTATGATGTGAACTGGCCCTGCGGACAAAAACCCTAAAGATACTACAAAATTAGTTACCAAGTGGCTTAAGGACAGTAAGGTCAGTGTGTGGAGTAGCCATCTCAAAACTTTGTCCTAAAAGTCATGGCAATTTCACAAGAAAAGCTGGAATAGAGTGAGAGAACAAGGCAGCCTACAAACCTGACTTGGTTACATCAGTTCTGTGAGGACGAGGGGGACAAAATTCCAGCAAATATTGTGAGAAGCTGTTGAAGGACACCCAAAAGCTTTGACCTATATCTATTTTGGACAAAGTACTCAGTTTACTTACTTTAGTCAATCCTACAGGTCAAATATTACTCCAATAAAAGTAAAAGTAGCTCTGTAAAATTATTACCTAAGCTAAAGTACTGGAGTATTGGCTTTCAAAAATAATTAAGTACTAAAAGTCCTTAAAATTGGAAGTTTTATATCAATACATTTCACTTGAGTGTAGTTGAGAACACAAGAAAATTTTCTGCCATACTGGACAGATCAGTAACTCCGAGTATATAATAACAATGCATTAATTACATTTAGTGTTTTTTTTAAATGCTCCAAGACTCTTTACAATTTCATGCATTATTCATTGACTCATTAATTATTATTATTCTCCTTGGAACCAGCATGGATATCAAATAAAGTACATGTTGTATTAAATACACATGTATGATGTCTGTGGTTTTAAGCTGCTCATCACCTCCTACTGGGAGTAGTGTGTAATTTTACTTTGTGTAAAAAAAGTCACTAGTATCTAAAACCTTTAGAGAGATGTAGTGGAGTAAAAATTAAAAAAAGGTTTTTATTAAAATTACTTCTCAAATAAAGTGCAAATTCTTAAAAACTGTACTTAATGACAGTACACAAGTAAATTTACTTTGTTACTGCCCACCTCTGCCCWTGTTACCACAGAGTTCAAACACAATGCTATTAAATACTAAAAGGGTGAGGACAGATTTTTCTGATTTAAGGTCAAATAGCAAAAACAGAAATGGTTACGTGCCTTTCACAGTGGTATAGAAATCAGTTTAAATGTACTATTACACCCTTACTGATTACTGAGGATACATATGACAATTTGCCAAAGTATCACTGAACTTACAGTACTTATTTAATTAGAGGTTTTCTAAATCATTAACCATACTGTGGCCCATTTTATCTGATTTAAACCTCAAATAAAAATATGCAGCTAATGATAGGAGAACATTTATAGCCAGCTGCTGGGCTGAGCAAGGACTACATTAGGGCCTCATTAGTGGTCAGTATCTCTTTACCGCCACTTATTCCTTTGAGGTGGAAATACTCAACTTGGAGATGTTAAAGGAGTCCTGTYCATCTGGTTTTAGATCTGAAAACAAATCTACTTGGTGCTTTAAACGAACGTGACTTTTTCTGTGACAAAAGCCTCGTCTTTAAAAGAGGCTGCAGTGAGACAGAGACTAGAGCCAACGTTTTTGTTATGTCTTGCTGGATCGATGTTCTCATATTACTTGAATGCAAAAAACAGATGTGCTGGACCAGCCTTTATAGCAGAGCTGCAGAAGCAGCAGCAAAACATGATTTTACAAACACCACAACACACAAATTACTAATGCTTTTTAAGGCCTTTGCTGTTTTATTTTTTTTCTACAACAGCAAATTACAGAAGCAGTATTGAAAATAAAAGTCCTATTTTCTCGTTTTTGTACAAAGAAAAACAAAATCAGCACAAAATCTCAATGACGGTACAAAATGAAGCTCTAACATGTACAGGAGGAGAGGGACATTGCTTTTCAAAAAATCTGGTGGTTTTTTTTAATTATGAAAAACATGTTTTTTTTTCATTTTTAATGATATCAGATAATTTGAAACTATATATATATAAAAGAAAATGAACACAATTTCTCCTGTTTTGATTTTCAATAGATTTTTATCTTTTTCTTTGCAAATGAATGCTATAAACACATAAACCTCTTAAATAGATTTCTCAGTGCAACATCGTTTCTTTTGAGTCCACGCTACAGTATCCTTTTTTCTCTAAACGCTGCAGCTACAGGTCCCTCCGCAGCCAAAAGCTCAGGCTGAGGAGAGCGGGTTTCGGATTAGAAGTGAACAAGCTGAGTGTGTGTTCGCCACTGCACGACATACAAAGATTTAAAAGACATCACCCTTCTCAAAATCCGTTTTTTTAAATGATTGATTGTTGTGAGGAACTTCACTGAGTTCTAGGACCTGTGGGTCCTCATGTCCTTAAAAGTTCTCCCAGGATTCTTTTCCACGTTTGAGTGTGAAATGATGGGATTGTCTCATCTGACCATTTGAAAACGTCAGTCCTCATAAGTTCACATCGTGGTGACTTTTGTGATTTCTTAAGTTTGGAAAAAAAAAGATAGAAAAAACAGAATGTCACAGGTTGCTCTTTTCTACGAGTGTCCTCGTCACCCCCGTCTTAATCCCTTACCTGGGGGATTAAGAGTCGACACGGGTTCTTCAATGAAGGGTGACCATGATGAACTGTGGCCCATTGATGAACTGTGGTCTGGTAGTACTCCGTAGATAAGAAGCCCCAGCAAAAAAAGAATGGGGGCAACCATCCTTTGGTAAAACCTGATTCAGGTGATGCCACTCAAACTTCCCTCACCTAATACCCACTTGCACCACTGACCCATTCTAATGACATCAGATCTGACATCACAACGTTATGGCTGCTACATGTGAAACACGTAAAACTCTCGGTGGCCCATAAAAAAAGACCTCAAGCTACACTTTAGCATGTGGGGAAAAGCTGGGGTTTCTCTTCAGACACGCACATCTGGCTAAGTCACTGATAGCACCATTCGTCAGTTGGTGAGTGAACTCTCATATCCCTCCCCCACTCTTTATCAGAATCCCTTTGTGAGGGAGTGAGAAAAACAAAGTGCATTCAAACTGCATTGTCCAGATAGCACTTTCTTCAGTTAACACAGTGATGGAGGAGGTGGCGAGCTGGCTTTGCTTGAACCTAAAGCAAAGCAATGATGGTTGGTGTTTTTTTCTTTCTTCTTTTTTTCTCTTTTGGTATGCTCATTGACATAAAAATAAGTTTTGCTACAAATTGGAATTCAATAAAACCCACATAAAAGATGAAATGACATGTGGAGAATGTTGTTTTGTGCATGTGTTGCTGCTTACAATCATTTATACTTTTTGTGTTTTTATGTTTTTACTATGTTTATTTTTTTACTATTATTATTTTTTTATTTTGTAAAGCAGGTTTTGATGACAGATGGATTGAATGCACATTAAAGTTGTGAAAATGTCAAAATCACACACCAAAAAACCTTGCTTGCCTAAGCAACATAATCTAAAACCAACACGGCATCGTCTACAAAAAACAGTGAAAAGGTTGTATTTACACACACACACACACACACACACACACACACACACACACACACA